CCCCCCCCCCCCCCCCACGCCCGGGTCCACCCTGGACATTAGTTTCTCTTAAATTTCCTCTTCACGTGCCATATGTACGCATATCAATATAACTAGGGTATCTAAAAGATAGTAATGCTGCGGCACATTCTGTTGATACTGGCATTAGTTAGGCAGTGGGACTTAAAAGAATCGAAAATGACATTGAACGTCCTATTTACATGTTGGAAAGTAAAAGAATAATTACTATCAGTCTAAATAAAGAACTCGTGGGAACCTTGTTTAAAAAATGATCAAGTGGTTATCAACTCTGGTTTTCCCACAGTAAATTGTAGGAAATGATAGAAATTCAGATTGTTTATCCATATATTTAATATAGGGTGTACTATCTTTTCTCTGGAAACATGATACTTTTCTTGCTGTTTATTGCACTTTATTAAGTAACAGTTATTTAGCTATATATTTATAGAAAACAACAACACAAAAAACAGAAAAAAAAAAGAAGGAAAAAAGAGATGGATAGGAGTCACCACTACACCACAGAACCTCACCACTACACCACAGAGACTGATTACATATATTTGGGAAAAGTCTTTGATTTAATTCCTTTTCCGTGAAACTTCCGGCGGCAAGATGATCGCCAGCCGCATTAATCGAGCTATTAACAGCAAAAAAAACAAACAATGTAAACGCATATTCCATGGCAATGAATGAATGAAAGGACATAATTATGCTTTTCAAAACGCCGATACACGTCCTCGTCTTCAACGTAGGACAGAAAACATATGTTTTGTTATCTCGATTTCCGCTGTTATTTTGAAGCGAATGGTCAAAATCACATCCATTTTCGGCTCATACAGTTTCTTAAGAATAGCATTGCATGACATTTTCTCACTTTCAATCACCTTCTAGCAAGCTGGAATTTGTATATCCCCCGTGTTGCGGAGTCGAAGAGCAAAAAAGGCTCTTGAATTAAAATCCAATCCCCAAGTTAACCATCGTACTCATCTGAAAGACTCCTGCGTGTCTTAAAATTTGGTAAGACCTCTAACCGTGCTGTAGAAAATTTGTCTAAGTCTGAGCAGCGAACGATGCACTCTCTCACCCACCGAACTTCCCCGTGTTTTTATTTGAGTTGTTCGTGGCGCAATGCACTCTGGTTAAATGCAATGCATTGTGGTAAAAAGTGTGGTTAAATGCAATGCATTGTGGTAAAAAGTGATGAACTCGAGAATTCGTCGCCCCTTATATATTTCCTTTAAATCCTGATTATGTTGCTGCTCGCTCCCTTCGGTCGCTCCGCAGCAATAAAAGACAAGGGGAAAATTATCTTGAGAATATCACATGACCTGCCCTAGCATAAAAAAATATTTATTGTATCAGCTTGCGAGGTCGCAAACTTGAGCAAATCTCGCATCATTCCTGATTGTCTTCTCCTTCAAGAAAAACCGCAGCTAAACATGTTTAAAGTTAAGTTAGGCCTCCTTGTAGTGTACTTGTTATTTCTGGAATCATCATTAATATTATCAACCACAGCATTCCGAGTAGGAAAAGACAGAACGGTCACCAAGACAAAGGTCCTCATACTTGGAGGGGGCTTGTCGGGGATCACTGCCGCTAAAACCCTTCTGGATAACAACATCAAGGATTTTTATATTCTCGAGGGCCAAGATTACATTGGAGGG